AGAGCGCTGCACTAGTATCGCAGAGGTCAGTGGTTCGAGTCCCGTACAAACCTGATTTTTTTCAGGTCTGATTTTCGCTATTGCATAAATAGCGCTATCTACTGCGAGGATCGCACATCATACGTATAATAGATCTTGTCATCTATTCTCATCAATAACGGCCATAGAAGACTTAGTGTTTCCATATAAGTAATACCTGGAGATGTTCATTGTCTTTGAGGTCCTGGGTAGCAATGTAATCGAACTCTGGAGAAAACACGACAAACGCGACACCCAAACAGTTCATGGCAAGTGTCCTCAGGAGTTTTGCTGTAACACAAGTAAGCTCTTAGGATACTATAAACTTAATTTACAACTTTCTTTTTTAATCTAGCCATGCACACAACACAAAACAAACTTCATGGTTCAGATGGCGAAAAAGCTTATATCCGAACATCACTTTCTGTTGTTTTTGTTTCTTTCCCTTACCCGCTTTTTTCTCTCATTTTTCTTTTGCACCGTTCCAAACGCTTAATGGTATATATATGGTGATGAGAGACCCCACTTACCACTCTGAATATTCCATATGTAAGTTCCATTCGACAGCACTGCTCCTAACTTGGCACCGTTCTTCGAAAAACTTATGGTAGCGCCATCCATTTTCGGAGCGGTCTTCTTACCAGTCTCGAAGACCCTCACGTCCTGATTGAAGTAAAAGAAAATAAATTCATACCTATTGAAAAGCTTTGAATTCAAAAACTGCGAGACGAAAGTCATTGCCAACCTTATGAGATTTCGGGTTCCACAAATACATCTTGTCTGATCCAAATGCTAACGAGTTGCCATCTGGAGAGATTGCCAGAACTTTTGGCCTTCTCTGTAAAAAAAAAAAAAATAGCCGGGCATCAAGCAAAAGTCCTTTTAACCCACTCTTCGGACAATTTTTTTCTCTTGTTTTTTTTTTTTTTTTTCATATATTAAGTTCTACCAAAAAAAGGAAATTTAACAAGCTTGCTTTGATTAATTTTATTTAAATATATATTGTCGCTCAAGTGATTCCCTTTTATCGTAGATGCAATGGGAAATTATTTGTATGCTCAATTTAAATCGTGGAAGAAATAGATTGCCAAGGCTGTCAATCCTCTCTGATCCGCAAAAGTTCAAAATTGTGACTGCAACCTGCCCAGCAGGCGATCCACCAAAACACTAAAACTAAGACTCGTAAACACTCACCGGGAGTTCTTCTTTCATAACAGGCTGTCCGTTAGAGGAAGGTGAAGTACTATAGGAACGTAGCTTACCATGCGCTGTTGCCAGAAATATCTACCGTGAAAGTATATTTATTCAGTTTTAGAACGACATAGTTCTAAAAAATAGAAATAGTAAGAAAACATAACAATGATAGGCAAAAATAACAAGATTACATCTACCGCCATTAATATCCTCTCTGTCGATTTACCTCCCAAGCCTTGCCTTTCTTGGTACTAACAATGCTTGCTTTATCGTCAATGTCGCAGTCAACATTTATCTCTTGAAGAGTTGTCCCTTTTATAAACAATTGTTTATAAAATAAGTAATACAAATGTCATGGACTAAACGAATATTCATATCAATATATAAACTTAGGAACGCTGTAATTGCTAAAATTGAGTCTTCTCGTTGTCTTGTTTTCAGTCCACACGCAGCGAGAGGGCGCAACACGATGTAAAATAAGAACAAAACAAGTTCTATGAAACGCACCAACTGCATTTGATAAATTAAAAACCTTTGTGTTCGCTGCAAAAGCGTAGATAGCTGGCACCTTTACTTGCAACCTTTGTATGGAGGTGAGGGTAGGGTTTTTATCATACCTTCATGTTTACCACCAGTGCCCAGGCCGAAACGGAAAATGGAGTGCGAACCAGCGACTGCAACCCAGTGGCATTGGTCTATGCTGGCGGGAAACGATATCACGTGACATTCGCAATACTTTGTCATGACGGTATAGCCACTTGCGACCTAAAGAGAAAGCATATGAAAGTCTTAGCTTGTCTATGTTTTACATAGAACCAAACAGAAAAAAATTCATCCGAAAGTATGTCAAAGATAATGTTCTTTATGAATCAGCCTTGCAAACTAGAAACAATTCATGCACGAGTGGCAAAAGGAGAAAAGGAACCCTGCAGAAAACTTTAACGCAAAAATCTGATGAATCACTTTACATTATCTCTAGTCACACAATATCACAGCAGATACGTTACACTATGTTATCTTTTATGGTCACATCTATGCTTTATGTCGATTAGGTCGTAAATTCAAACTCGATACTAACCATAAATACACGCAACACCCCATCTGTAGCGTACGTGGCCAGATATTTGCAGCCTTTGGAGAAAACACATCTCCTGACTCCTGCTGGATGCTTAAATGATGCTACGTTGATCTTGCGAGACTCCATTTTCGTTAAATCTCTCCAAAGAGTGATCTTAGCGCCTTCATGTTTGCTGGCTGTTTCCAAATATTTCTTGGTAAAGAAAAGTAGAACAGTCAATAAAAGAGGGAAAATTCAAAGTTCTCTACTGTATTCCTGATTCAATTTTCGTAGTTTCCCTTTAATTCGAAGGCCCTCTTGTTACGGATTTTACGGATCAACTTCATTATCTGAGAAACGATGCACCTGCCCCCGCCCCCCCCCCCCAACTCCAACAACAGTCATCTGATAACAAGTTAGGGTTTATGACTGATTAGGAGAGGGGTAGGTGCGTAGTTGTTCAGATACTGACAGGTTCTAATGTTACCGAAATTGCATGGAGCATTAAAAGACATCTCGTTTTAATCGTAGCTATATATTGTGATGAAGGTCATTCTTTGTTGTCAGCTTTTGCTTTTGTGGCGGATCATCTCGTATAACCAACATCAGTGTTGCTGAGCGTAGACTACTACTGTACAGTATGTAAATTAAGTAGTGGCGTATCTAACCTTAGCCATAGTAGCGCAATATGAAATATCGGGTTCATTGAGACAAAGCTGTGGTACCAGCTCAGGGAACTGACTCAGTTGTTGAGCATTGGCTCGAATACAACTGTACACGTCTTCTATCATGGCTGACTTGTCATTGCTGCACTTCAAGGAAGCCTAGAAATGAGGGAAGTAAAGAAAAAATTCCAAAGATGAGGTCAATTCAAATGCTGTGATCTAGTAATCGATTCCCTAGAAACTAGGTCGGGAGACTTCCCCTTTTCACGCCACGAAAAAGCAGCTCTGTAACAACAACGACAAGATAGGTATTGCCTTGAATACAGATTGAGTAGATTGGTGTCCAGCGATCGCTCCAAGCGGAGCAGTTAATATAAACGAACAGTGGTCGAAGTCATCACGATGAACACAACTAAAGAAATGATGTAGAAATTCATTTAAAATCGATGACTTCACATCTCTAGTATCTCTGTAATCGTAGATATTTAACATTGCAAAAACATGGATTCTATTGTTAACAGTTTTCCCATTCAGTATAACCTACCTCAGAGAGTTCAAGAGTCAGTTCGAATGCTTTTCCAGCCTTACACTTTGCCATCAGCCATGGAATCTGACACACAATCTAGAAGATAAAAAGCAATCCTTCAGATCACGTCACTATTCTTAATAGCGTTGGTTGACGAACACTAAGTGGTCATTAGTGTTGAGGTTTGTGGCTATAAGTTTGGTTAAATTTCCAGCAGAGAAGAACAAATTGTTAGAGTTACAAGAGAAATAGCCGGTAGGTAAAAAATAGGAACCGCGATAAACAATATATTGTCGAGTGCGACCTTTCCTTGACAAACATATAATTGTGAGGATCCCTTAAGTTTTGCGAACCTTTTTTTTTTTTTTTTTCTTTCCATGATATTCCTCTTTCGGTTCAACATGATGCATGAGAAGTGAAGAGAGGAGAGCGTGGTAAAAAAGAAATAAAAGCGTTATTTGGAAATATAACAACAGACCTCCACAAATTCATTCCACATGTCACATCTGATCAAATAGTAAGGTAGCTCGCTTAACTTGCGCAAGTTGTATCTTGGTCTATTCCCTTCATTTTCGGAATCCATGCTATCTTCTGAGTCTTCAGTACTTAATAACAACGGCTGATCTGCCACTATTCTGAATGCACTTCTTCTTGTTCTGTCTTTGTCTGTGTATGGCTTTGCTTCCCGCGCCCACCTTTAAAGTAGAAAATTATTAAATCCCCTTCCAACGGCTGAGAGGACTTCAAGGAGGAATTTTTTTAGTAATGTTGCTACTAAATTATTTCAAATTGCTTCACTGCCTTGTGTCAGTTTTAGAGGGTTGATAAAGAGAGCAATGATTATATGACAAAAAGTTCTTACTCAGTCTTACTCAGTGAATGACGCACACAATTTCGAAAAGAAACAAATTCCGAATGTTCACAGTAGGAGTTGAGTATACGACCTTCCGACTACTACCGACTACTACCGACTAATACCGACTATATACCGACTAATACCGACTACTACCGACTAATACCGACTACTACCGACTAATACCGACTACTACCGACTAATACCGACTACTACCGACTAATACCGACTACTACCGACTAATACTGACTACTACCGATTATAGGAGAACCGTGATAGGCTAAGCTGTTCAAGCTGGTCCATGTTGACATTGATCATCTTTATTACAAGAAATGTGGTTTAAGCTTTCATGGATGACGCTTGAATTTAGTCCCCTAACTCGGCAATTTAATTTCGATCATACCTGGTTCTATTTCCTCTAACGCGGAAACGACTATCTTAAACTCGCACACAGATAAGTTCATCATTCTTATTTCACACATAAAAAATTTACGTGGCTTTTCATGCATTTTTATCACCCATTTCCTATAATTGTGTCAGAATGTCAGTGCTTGAATCAGAATGCCACTGAACACGTTGGTTACATTACCGTTAGCGTCTTATCGTATCGAATACCTGCCACTGAAGTAATTTGCTAAATCCCTGTGAAGCGAGTCTGTGAAGGGCTTATCACTCAAAAAATAACTCCTTGCTGCCTCCAGGAACAGTCTGTGATACCACTTGTATACCACGTGACCATCTGCGGCTACCTTCACCAGATAACTGCCTGCAAGAGAAGAAGTAACGATGCTTACCCTAAAGTCCAAACGGCCCTCAAGTAAGAAATTATTTTGCTATCACTCACTTAGTCTATCCCCTAGAATAAATCAATTAAGCCAATCGGATCTCACAGTCCTGCTTACTAAATTAAAAAGTTTTTCGGAATTTAAATCTTTTCCCTCTATTTGAACCCAGGGATATTATAAACATCATATTAACCTCGTAAGTTACGGAACCTAATTCTTTCTCGCTTCGCGCTTGCGCCATAAATCCAAGCGGAAATAAGACAATAAGTAAGTTACAATAAGAACCTCGAGCTCGCTTAGATAGAAGAATTAAAACAGTCAGTCTCTTGGATTTTCTCAGATTGTAAAAACTAGGGTGAGCGCCTCCTTACGTAGTCTTTTCTTTTGTCAGAAGAAAGCAAGAGTGTACTGGTGGCCAAATGAACAAACTGTAGCGAGTTTCAGTAGAGCAGCAAGTTTAATCGGTGACCCATTATTACTGGCACTACCATGATGTTGGTCTTGAAAGCTGCCTTTTATAATTACTTAAGGTTAGGTATTGAGTATCTGTTTAACTTAAATTTCAAAGTAAACATCCATAATTTCAAAACTTTTCCCTTTTTTGTATTACATGTAAACCTCTCACCTAAATCGTTGCGGAGTCGAGTCCACAGAAGAGGTGGCAGCCTTCTGATTGGTGAAACGTGGTATTTAAAGACCTCATCAGAGAGTACGATATCATCACATGATAAGATATCTTCCAGTTCTGACTTCGAAAGACCTGTTTTAGAGGCTGTGATGTAACCTAGAGCCCTACGGACAAACTGTTCCCCATGCTCTGTGATCAAGCTGAAATATCAAAAACTTGATTCATTAATTTAAAGACAGGAAAACATAGATTTTTCAACAAACTTGCATTTAGTGGGGGCCTCATGAATTTCAGTTTAGGACATGGTCATTGAATAGCACTTTAAGTGGGAACGGGGGGTGATCAAGAGACTATGGAAAATTTATTTCCAACGAAGGAGGGAGGAATTTACAAGGAAAATTATCTATGACCTGCCATTGCTGTAGCTGATGCTCGGAAGAACTTGGAAATTTGATAGATCTGGGAAATGTGCTCCATTAAGTAAAGCTATATACTAAAAGCTGTAATTTTCAGGAAACGGGATATTGAAAGCGTTACAGTCCAATTTAGAGGAGAGAAAATTAATTAGGCTTACAGACCCCGAGGAAAGTTCCCAGTAGGTTATTGGTCATATGTTTTTATATGAGCATGCAGGTTGTACAACAGGGTTTAGGTTCAAGTTTAAGTTTAGTTTAAGTTTAATTCATTCGCCACAGGAATGGCAGGAGAAAGGAACAGAAATTTCGTTCCAAGTGACACCTAACCCCTTTATTACCCACCAATCCCACCCCGGGAAGGACATCCATCACACAGTAATCTCGTGTGTGAGAAATTAACGTCTCCTACTCCAACCCTGCAGGAGACGGGACCTCCATTTATCGTCCCTATCCGAGAAGACTAGAATATCTAACCATTTGCAGGTATTATTACAAAGGCAGCACTTTCTTCTCAGTTAATTAAAGACCCTGAGTGTTGGTCCGGCCGGATTTGAACTCACGACCTCCCGCACAACAGTCCGGCGCTCTACCAATTGCGCTAACCGGGAAGCGGGTAACCACCACAATGGGTGGTAAAGTATTTGAAAAGGAGTTATAGGAGAAATTTGAAACTCACGAACCGTTCAAAAAGTTGTATGATCAGCTCTGTCGCAGTCGGTCTTAATTCCTTGTGTGTGTTTTCAGAGAAAGATTTCCAACGAAGAGCTGTGTCACAAGCAAGTTTCATGTAAAGTGCTGTTGGTTTAGAACAGGTTTCTAATACTTGGGACCTTTGCTGTGCTGTGAGTTTCCTGCGAAGGTTGATTATCAAATCTGTAAATAACATAATTGAGAAGGACCCAAGATGTGTCTGTACATACACATCACATTGCCTTTTTATGCAGAAGTAAATTTCTGCACCTGTTATATTGGACCTGAACGAAACGAAATACGACATTTATAGAAGATTGTCAGTCTGCAAAATATTCAATTGCTATCTATATTTCTGGTAGTTTTTCTGGTTCTGAACAAAAAATTGAAATTTTTTTATTTAAGCTAGGTTCAGAATCTCCAAGGCAATGTGAATTTTTTTCCTCATATCAGAGTTAGAATAAAGAAGTAGGCTATGAGTAATGTTGTTACCTATAAACGTTTTGTTTCATAAGTTTGGAAAAAAAAAACTTACTAACAATGGATTGAGAACTTAGTCTGCTTAATAGTGAAAGCATACCTTTTCTCTTTTTCTAATCTCATATCTAGAATGCTTTCAGCGTCACTTGATTCCAAGGATGAAACCTTCAGAAAGCAATGAGTATGCAAAATCAAAGACAATAACGTGTGATTCATGTCACAGTTTACGGTAAGCTTATTAATGGAGTCATTAAAAGAAAGAATGATGTGATCATTGGAAATAAAGATAGTTTGGCCATCAAGGATCGAAGTGAACAAGATCACAGCTTGTAGATTTAACATCTTTACGCTGATTTCTTTATGCTGAAGGTCATCATGGGTCAACCTCCTGCATTTTTTATCATCCACTTTCCTCCTTCTCCTTTTTTTTTTTTTTTTGGACTCGTCATCATTTTCTAGTTTCACTTAGCTAATCTTTCGCTGTTTTATCAGAGCTGAAAATAGTTCTATGCGTCGCAGAAAAATAATTCAAGTCGCTTTATGGTGCCTACCTTAATATTTAATTAGATTCTAATTGCTACAACCGCGGAATGAAATGCTTCCTCCGCCAGTTCATATCATATGCAATGTTCCAGAGAAGAAAATGTGTTACAATGAACTTACCTCAAGATAAAATTCAGCATTGTTTTCTGGTTTTAGTTTGGTTTTTAGTACAGCAAGGCACCCTCCTGTATTGGGAAGGGTGCTCACCACAATGTGGACATTATTTGGCAAGCTCATTGGAAGCCATCTTAAGGCACGTCCGTCATCTTGGTCTGACAGCTGGTCCAGTGAGTCGAGAAATAAAACTGAAAGATTTGAGTTTGTATTAAAGTAGCAGTGTCACATGATTTAGTTGTTAAAATGTGTGCGCATTGAAACTAGGATGTTTGGTATGTATTACCTATTGGCTTTTCTGGTGTGGCTCTTTGGAGAAGAGAGCGAAATGTTGCCACTAGCCGCTCACAGTTGTCTGTAATAACTGTTGATGTATCGTTCAACACCAAGCACATCTGCAATTATAAAGAAAATTCATAGAATGACACAAAACTAATCAGTAAGGATTAGGCTTGGTGATGTAATTTAACGCAAACAAAAAACCGAAAGAATCCCAGTGGTTAATCAGAGAAAAATATGCATAACTCGTAACTAGAAGAATCTGATCATTTTTACAGACAGCATATGTAACTAGCTCCAGCGAGAGACAATGAAATTTACTTAGAAAGGATTGGTTTTACTCCTGTCTTCTTGCGGTTTGTTTGAAAACTGATCTAAATTCATGATTCCTTTCGAATGCACTCACGAAAGTGCTCTATGAAGTCATTTTTAATAGTGCCGGCCAGATAACCTGGTTATGCCCGTATAGATTGGGATTGGAGGTGTCTTTTTTTGCCACCCAACCAAACCTTTGATCATTGAGAACATACCTGCTGACACAAACTTCTCAACAGAGATCTTACATCAGATGAGAAAGGTGAAGTGCCTATGAATCGTATGAAATGAAATGGCCTACAAAATAAAATACGTTACGTTGACATATAGCTTGCAGTGATTGTAGGCAATACCAAGCGAATCCTGTGTTCTGATTGGCTACCCGAGCGGGCAAGATGGGCCCATCATGTCCGCTCGTGACTGGCAGCTTTTGTCCGACGCGAGAAAGCAAATTGCTTGAAATAAACTTATAAAAGTCTTCGTAATTTTTGAAGAGTATCGGGGGTGCAGTCGCTAAAAGCGGTAGAAGACTTTCAAAATAGATGAATCATAAACGATTCTCGTGGGTTTATTGTGCTACAAAAATGACAATTGGCTTTAGTTCCCGTCTCTAAAAATAAACAAATAATTCTTGATTCTTGATTTTCGGGGCCAGCAACGAGAATTTATCCGCTTCTGGAAAACATCCACCATACATTAGGAATGTCAAATTATAAGCCACTATTGCACAGTATTCTACTCGTATATAACCAAGAGAATTTAAACTGGTCGATATTCTCATGATATTACAAAACTATTACCTTCCAGTCTCTACTCCACTCCAATCTTCAATAGACATGTTGAACACTTTGGCCATAAGGGACGTTTTTCCACATCCAGAAATACCATGGACAACAAAGGGCTAAATTGAAATGGCGTTTTAGTTTGTAAGTAATGTGTCAGACACAAGAGACAATGGTTGATTCTGACTCGTTCCACTCTACAGATGTTAGGGATCTTAAGGAAACCACGAAGGCGACGGCAACGGGGACGCCGAGACAGAACAAAAGATCTAATGGGCAGAACAATAGCATAGCAAGGGCATTTTTAAACATTGCACTTTCTTAGCCCTCCTCTGTAACACAACGTGATATCACCAAAACTTGCATGTTCTAAGAACGGAAACCCGACGACAATTATATAAATTTCCATTTGGGACTCAATGTAGCCCACATACGTAATACTGAAATTGAGGTGGGGAACCTTAGGAGACGGCAAACACGTCGATTAGAGAAATTCTAACTTGAAATTAAATCGAAAGTTTCGGTGTTTATGTCCTAAGTGCAGAAGGTCATCACTGACTCATGGAGTTACGTTAAAGGAAAGGATAACAGGCCTTGATTTTCGGTGATAAGGTTAACGTTGAACAAATATTGTACGAGAAGTCGTCACCAACCTTTCCACCATTATCCATCTTCAGGTAAGCTTCCATCTGAAAAGATGAACGAGCAGACTTTCATTTTAACACAAAGAAGCCAGAGTGTGTGGAATGACTAAGGTTGGCTTTTGGGAAAAGCAGTTACCTTTTTCAGAAAAAGTTTCCTGCCAACAAATGCCTCTGTCCTTTTCTCTGCCATTGTCGCGTGGTTAAGAACCTCGAGATACAAGGGGTCATCGATCACTTTATGTTTAGCTACAGCTGTAAGAAAAGAGTTGTACAACGGAATTAACTCAATGATACAAATATACCGTTAATTAGCCTAATGCAAAATACTGTACTATTGATACGGTCATGACTGGGCGAATTAGAGATTGAGTCACTTGAGGTTAGATTGTAATTATAAACATTTCCAATATTTCACCTTCCTGGATGGCATCGACCATTAACTGACAGAACTTGTCACAGAAATTCTTTACTTCTTCTTTGTTCTTTTTCACGTCGATATGACCATCTCTTGTAACGTGTAGAGACAGGCTATATCTGTAAAACGAAACACCAATGTTTCAATTGTTAACATCTCCACCGGTTACCTTTCTTTCTACAACCACTGTTCAAACGGTTATAGTTTAGTACCGACGTGTAATGCCATGAATATCGGTGGCTTGTGGAGTACATTAAATTTCAGTCATGGGAAGATCTGCAACCGTATGTCTAGATAATCCTTTGTTATCTGGGGTATAGTAGGTTAAAGAATCTGTCTGTGAAGGATCAAGAAATGATGAAACGAGACCAGGAAACTTTAAGCTTGTATAACCCTTCAGTTCTTTCAGTCGTTCAAACGGGCAGACGATGAGTTTGGGCCGTTCTACAAGAAGCAAATTCTGTTTGTATATTATTATTATGAAAACAAAATTGAAATTCGGCAAACTTGACATGAAAGCATATGCATAGAGTGACGTTTTTCTGATTCTCCTACCATTCTTATTTCCTCTTTATCATTTCCTCACCTGCAGATGTTGGCATTTGGAATAAATTCTTGACAGCTATCTCTAAGCCTCTGTAGCGAACATTTTGCATCATTTCGTTTTGTGGAGTGCGATTGAAACCCGCATTCCTCTACATCTATATAGCGCTTGGCGAAACCATTGTTATTTGGATCAATCTCGTCTATTCCTTTAAGGGAACGTAAAAAGAGAAACATATAATTGGGATCCATGTCTTCCCCTCTAATCCCAGTCATAATTTCCTCCTCTGTCACTGATATTTTAAAATCCTCTTCTGTCATGTTGCAAAGGGAAAAAGCTGAAACGTCTGTCTGACTCGCAGCCTTTTGTAAAGCTTCTCTCATGGTTACCAAATCCTGCCACCACTGATTTCTTTCCTGTCTTGTCTTGGTCGTCATATCGACTACAGCGGAATTCTTGTAAGCGTGCGGGTAATATGTTGACACAGGAAGTAGTACGTACGCCGCAGGGAAACTGTTCTCATCCAGTTTGTACCACTTTTCCAACAGTTCAGATGCGCTTTTGCTGCCTGGCTGACTCTTGACGCTACTTAACAGCATCTGAAACACTTCCTTATCAATTTTGTTCGGGATTGGTCTATAGCCATACTTGTCACCAATAATACAAACCATGTATGGTCCTATGGACTCCTTCCTAGAATTTGTCAGGAACAGCACGCCAGAATAAATAAATAGATTTTTTAAGACTTTATTCTTGATAAAGAGAGCATACGCGAGAATCTCACCAATTTCAAACAGTCCATGTAAGGTAAAAGTTTACACCGTTACAATTCTTTCGTTAAACGCTCTTCTTTCTTGACACTTTTTGTTCATTTTCTCAAAAACCATCTACTTTACGCTCAGATCCTTCGGTATGCATGGAGTTCCGCTGCGGAGAATTCTCTCGCACAGTTTAGCGTGATAACAAAAGAGAGACTATGAAATGTTCATTTGTTGATATTGCGTGTATTTGACGAACTGGTTTAAAAACAATGATCAACTTTAACCAGTTTTTGAGTGGTAAGCTGTATCGATATGCGCAAAATACCGTCACTATTGCAAACTACATCTGGCTGACCCCATTTCCGCTTTCGTTATAAGAGGAAAATATGTAATAAAAATTCTGGCTCCGGTTGTTCAAAGGGCGGATAACGCTATCCGGCGGATAAATCGCTATCCAGCGGATAAGTGTTACCAAAACGTACTGCGCTCTCCACCGGATAGAGATTTATCCAGTGTATAGCGTTATCCATCCTTTGAACAACCGGGGCCTGATCACTCGAACAAGAAAACGGATATCGAAACTAAACGTATTAAGGAAAAAAAAGTTTTTTTCAAGCTCCACATCTGATTTCAATGTATTGGAATTTTTTTCACAGAAGTTAGGATATCTGTAAGAAAATATTGCCATTAATTAATTAACCTTGCAGAGTGCTATTTTTTTTTAATCCCCATTAATAGAGCGACTATTAGTAGTTTGCAGTTATGAAACACTCATATGAGCGCATTTTTAGTTGTTGAATAGATTTTTTACGATGGAGGCTTCTATCCATTACTGCTCAGAAACATGGCCTAGATCTGGCCAAATTAACAAGTCTTCAATGAAACACTTTGTTTTATCAAATAAAAAAAGGGAGTAAGTTTCTAAATAAAATTTGGTGCTGCATCGGAGGGTGGTATAACGAGTTAATTTGGTTTCATCAACTGAGTTAATGATACAAACTGGCCACTCTTTCCGACAAAAAACCCTTTACGGTGGCCAAATTACATTATCAACTCATTTGTAAAATCGAATGATGTTGTTTATCAGCTGGTTTTTTTTTTAATAGGTTTACCTAAATTTTCTAAGAGGTAAAATCTGTGCTAAGTATTTTACTTTGAATTAATCTTTGTTTTGTTTTAAAAACTAATCTTTTGTTATTCTGTATGAATAAAAAAAAGAGCTTAAAGATACGTTTCATTATGTACCGTGTTGTCTCTAAGCAACGTATTCTTTCAGAATCTTCGACCATTGTTTAAAAGCACTCAATCCTTACACTGTGCTTCAAAATTCCACTAACACGACAAACGTATTTCTTAATTATGCCATGAAAAATAATCCCCCTCGACCGCTTATCAATTTCATGGCGAAATTTGTCATTTGTAAACAACAAATCAAAATTGCATACCTGCATCGTTGTACTTCTTTCACACAAATTTCAACTGCTTGATGTTCGTCCGTCATTTCGTCACGCACTCCCCAGCGCATGTCAGCCACACTGAAATTATAGCCAAGTTGTCGACAAAATTCGCGCAAATATGGATACACGTCTTCCATGAGTAGATCTCTTTCCCTGCACATGTCCGTAAAAGTTGAACTCAGAAATATAGCGATCTCCCTCGAAGGAATACTCCATCTTGAATCTGGTTTGATTTTCCCTTGTAGCAGGTTGTTGAAATACTCCATCAACTCTTCGTCTTCGTTTTGAAGTAACTCCTTCCGTTTGCGGTAAATATGCGATGGAGCTTTGCGGAGAATTGTTCTCCAGGGCTCCCTAACGGAGCGATCGTCTTGCCAAAGCTGCAAAGCCTGACGGAATTTTTGGTTGGCAAGTACAACTCGTCGAAGAGTAGCTGCTTTCGTATTACCATTTCCCATCTTGAAGGAGCCCGCCTCCGTCAACCACACTTTAACCACTGGTGTCACGAAAATCTCTTGTGACCAAAATCGAAAAGCCTAGTTTAGGTCAGGGTATTTTGTGAGTAAAATCTCGATCACCGATGAACCAAACTAGATTAATTAAACAGGAAGCAATTCCGGGTAAGACTTGCCGCCTTCAGTGAACTGATTTCGCCTAGAGTACCGAAGTTTTAGGTCAAATTAGGATAGAGCGCATGATTAGTCCGTGAAGTGACGCTATTTGGTAGCATGAAGCTGAACTACAAATCCCTGCCGAAGTAGTTCTAATTATAAGGTCACAACAGTATGCGGTATTGTTTTTACATAATCATAATTAATATTCAAGACTCGAGCGTAATCAATTCGGTACACTCTTTTGTTAACGAACTCCAATAGGCCGGGCTATTGTTACGTTTTATAATATTTTTTCAAGCAAACTTTTAATTGGACCTTAGACCTCTTAAAGCATAAAAAAATTCATAAGTCCATCAAAACAAATATTATCTGGGTAAATACCAAAAGGTGCGATCAACTAAACCCAGCATAAACAATCGTAATCTGCTAGTCAAGAGATTTGTTTTCAAATTCTATTGGCACTGCAATTAATATATCTGCTTTTTCCACCCAATTACTTTGCATTTTGTAATCCGTTGCGCGCCAGTCGATTTATTTATTTGCGGGGTTTGTACACAATAAGTACTTCAGAAGGATCTCGTCACGGAAAGTGCTATCACACTTTTTTCGTAGTCGAGTAGTTTGAGCGCATATTTAGTACGAAATAATTGAAGGAATGTAGACGGTAACTTGTTTGAATAATATCTCAAAAAGGTTTCAGTAAACTAACCTCCATCTCAAGGCAAATGCATTTCGTATTCTAAAATAGATAATAGTCTAGTTCTCACTTATTCTAAGAAATTGCACGAAAAATCGTCGGATAATTCTAAAGAGGATGGTTTACTCATTGGGAATTGGGGGTTAACCTCAACTTAAGCTTTCTCTGGTCGAGAATTAATTTAGGCACTTTGACAAAATTACCATGTTGAAAACTATATACGAGTATTATCTGCAAAGAAAAAAATCATGAGCGATATTTCAGGTTGATGGTGTGCCTCGTTAAAGATCACTGACCCAGGCTAGATCTAACCGTTAAATACATTTATTGGTATTTGGAACTATGATCATATCAGTTTAAATAACACGTATATGTATAATTAATATGACGGATCTTAACTTCCTATTCAATAAATACAGTTTGTATATATTATGATTATAGGTCTAATAAGCGGTATTCATGGATTTACCATGTTTAATAAGTCACTTGGTCTTTGTAGACTACTATATTAATTGGTTAAGTTATTATGGAAATGCACCCGCTATGATTGGGCAAATACTGCGAGATATCTTGCTATAAACACCATGCAAATGTTTGCGATTTCACGCTGAGGTACAACTTCAAAAGCTCTCGCCGCGCTATATTTTTAGCAATCGAGAAAATGAAAAAAAGAAAAAAAAATTCACTATCTAAATATTTAGCAAGCGAGAAAATGAGAAAAAAAATTAAGGGAAAATTCAGTGGCTCTAACAATCACTAGAGACTAACATCGTTCGACGACAGTCAATCTAAATGCACACTAAAAATAATAATAATAATAATAATAAAGACTTTATTTTACGAGGGTAACACATAATAGCATAGCTAATAAACTTGTGGCCCTCACAAAAAAAAAAGCTTTATCAAATGAATATAGCGTCTAGTAGAAATATCCATGCGTTCATTCACCAAGTCACCCAACAAACCCATTCCTTGGAAAGCAAAAGAAACAAACAAACAGAAAAACAAAACAAGCAATAAAAGAGCAAATCGATTAGTTTAAATTAAAAATCAAAAAACGCGGAAATCATGCAAGAGCCTCAATCACAGCGTCTCGATTAGAGCATAAAGAACTTGAGAATCTGAGAAACTGCGAATCCTTATCATTGATGATTTAAACCGATTAAAGCACTTCAAACTAAAATTCATATTTCTTCCTGGTTCACTTCCGGGTTCCAACGCTACAGCCAAAGTCACTTTTTTTGATCGTGTCATCCCTCACGGCTGCCTTCTTATTCAATCTTCATGTTTTCTCTTAGTTTTCTTCGGATGTCGAGAACGACTCTTTGCTTTACAAAGCGGGCAGATGGGCGCATTCCTGTGAATCTGTTGATGGCAAGACAGGCACGCTTTCATTGGGGGTGGCTGCTGCTGGCGGAAGTGTCGTTCTCCTGGAGGACCACGTTTGTTGACGAGCTGCTGGGCGGCCGCTGCTGCTGCAGCCAGCTGGGATGCCACTGGGGGAGGAGGAGGTTCCTGTGGTTCTGGCTTCCAACCCGGAGGGGCACGCTCGAGAAACCTGAAGAGTGAAAGAGTAAAAACACTTTATTCTATAAAAGCTCAAGAAAAGACCTAATTTTTCTGTTAGGAATTTGTTACCTTTGCTTGTGTTACTTCAAGTACAAGCACCCCTGTATGGGTTTATTAACTTTGGAACAAAAGTCAAGTTATGATGGTTACCTCAGCATAACTAACAGTGGTGTCAAAAAAAGTTTCATTCTCAAGGCTGTGGTCGAGCAGTGCCCGGTGGCACCTGGCACCTTACTTTTGCTCTTAGGCGACTCAGGAATTTTAGTTTTTTCATACAAAGCATATGCTGGGCACCCTGGATTTCACAGTTTCAGAGCACTGGGCTCCATTCAATTTTCCTTAAAGCACAGCCTTGATTCTACTTACAAAGTCTTTTGAGAAGATACTTACATTACTAACCTTACACATTTTAACATCAGTATGTATGTTCTCCATACTAATGAATAAAGGCTTTTAGTCTCTAAAGAAACTGTTTGGGGCTGCATTGGTGGGGGTAACGAAATAATTTGGATATATCAACAAAGTTGAAATGGTAAATTGGCCACCGTGACTATTACAAAAGCTGACGTTTCGAGCGTTAACCCTTCGTCGAGGCGAAGGGCTACCATTAAATAGCCATTCGCTCCGACGAAGGGCTACCATTAAATAGCCAAGTGGCAAGGCTGCATACAGGTGCTGGTCTTGTGTTAAGGCCCTTGCATTTCCATCAACCGGGCTGGCTCTCAAGGTGGAAT